TAAACCTCATCTATCTTACTCAAGGCAGGTTCTGCTTTTTCTGCAGTATTGCCAGTAGAATCATTTGTTATATTCATGTGAAACTTATGTGTAAACAGTCTTACGTTCCGAGACTTTTTCATTTAGCTGACGTATTCCCTATTTGTTAGCTGAAGTATGAACATTTTTCAAAATTTCTGTTTTAACTTTACTTAGCTTACTTTACTTCAATTTTTAATGTTACAAAGTGTTTTTGTTTTTTGGTTGCAAGTTGCAGGTAATAAAGAATATTTCAGTGATGCGTAGAGAATTACCTACCTACCATAAAATATTAGCAAATGACAAATCCTACGGTCTAACAGCTAAAGCGACCTATATTAGGTTACGGTAAGTTTGCGGTTCAAACCTAATTAATTTGGTAATTAGTTTTCGTAAAGTCTGATGATTCTCATCCGAACAAGGCTTATTGATCCTAAACATTTCCATGTTAGACCCTACCAGTTGTTCTCAGTTCGAATAATAGAATATCATTTCAACCGTCTGTTTCAGAGTGGTTCTTTGAAGATTGATAATGTTTATTTGAAATAATCGAATAGCTTGTTACTACAAGTATACAGGGTGTTTCAAATCTAAGCAGCATACCAGTGTAAAGATTATTAAGGCGGACTGCAAAATTAAAACATTTTCATCAATCCCACAATTAACGTAACTGGATTCCTGATAAATGTCCAATCAATGGTAGGACCTCTCTAAAATGACTTGTACTTCACTTGATATTCACCGCAAAATTTTCAATATTTAATAAGTTTAGTCAATAATCCTTTTATAGTTGGAAAAGCTATTACGATACATTTAATTCATTATTATCGATCGGATTATGATTAGTAGGCTTACAATCCTGGTCTCGTAGGACATTTTCGAAAAATTTTAGTTTTATTTTACCAGTTCAAAAATGAGTTAGAAAAAGTTCAACAGAGGTTGACAATATCTCGAATATGATTGTAAAAACATGGAGCAAATTACTTTACTTACTTACCTGACTGTGTTTTAATAAAAAGCAAAAAACCATTTATATTAGTATTTTCTATTAATATATCTATCTATTATTTTAGTTTATATAAATACGTTGCAAATACGTTGACCAATGGCGTAAGTTACTAGAAATATACTTACAAGCCATATTTGATCTCTGTTATATTTGGTCTCTAACAGTCATATTTGATCTCTGTTCAAATGCTTAAAAATTTTGCGTTTCTGTTTAGCATTCTGAATTTGAAACCTCCATGTTGGGATGGAGACCAAAAAATCAAAGATCCTTTCACACTTAGAATAAATCCAGTAATAGAGTAATGTACCTACGACGCCTATGGTTGGCGGCCAGGCGAGTTGCTTTTCGGGTTATGCTACTCTTTGTCAATATATCGATCGGTACCTACCTTTAGTAGGTACTTATCCCTTGCTCCTATTTTTTATTAATAAATCGTCTGTCGAAATAATTCAATGTTGCTTCCAAACAAATCGAGATTTATGAATGACTTGCTTTGTCTCTTTGTTAATTTCTTTGGTTTCAATCTTATCCATGTGTAACTTCGAAAAGTTTGTTGTTGTACACTTTACATGCCTGTAGAAAATTAAAATACTGTCCTTTTGAAAATAGGGTTTGGAAGAATGCAGAACGAAATAATAGATACAACTTAGTGTTCTAAATATTTGTTTTAAATGCGGATATAAAAATCTCAGTTCGGGCTTATAACAAAATAGTATTACATCGACTTAATACAAAATCCTACAAGCAGAATAACCCTCTATTAAATAGTTATTTTGTTTGTTAGTGTGCAGCTATTATCTCGTTTTCCAGATAAACATAGTTTTTTAAGTTTTCACAGCACGTCTATGACTATTATGAAAACATGTTAGTTAGTACTGTTTATTAGATTCTATACTCAAAGAAGTTTAGCTAGGACAGATCTACCTAGTTCTTTTCTAAGTTAGTTAAGAACATTATACAAAATTTATCAATGCTTTTGCTTACATTTTAAGAGCCAAAACATGGCGATTTGCCAAATCTTGATCCTTAAATTTTGAATTTAGAGGCCCCGCATCGAAGGGTAAAGAATATTGCTACCCTGCATAATGTAGGAATAGGTACAAAACGTGCTTAGCTCTGAGTACATACTACATGGTAGCGTCTAGTAGAGTTCGAAAATTAGCAGAAATAGTTGACATTCATATGTGGCAATTAAACTAAGGTCTAACTAAAGGTATTTAAAAAGGATTATATGTTTAAATTACAAGACAGTATTAATTAAATGCTGTAAAGTGTAATTGCATGTAAAGTGTTTAGGTATAATGCATGTAAAGTGTTTAGGTATAATAAAGAATTCATTATATTGGGTTTGTGCCTAGGAGATGCTGTTACCCTGAGATCGCGCAAAAAGTCAAAGTGTGAAGAAAATTTTATGAAATGAGCAGTTATTTTTTCGATTTTTGCATCACCTTCAAGGATATAGTTATAACATATGCAATACATGGTCTTGCATTTGTCGATGTGGTGCAAGTTTAACAATATTTAATAATAATGCGCCTTATTTCATAATTTGGCTTTGACAATAAATAATAAATTCGATTTCCTAGCTCCGAGATCCGTGAAAAACAATAACACTTTTTAAAAACATTACGTACAGATATTGTTTTTTATATAATTTTCCTTCTTACATGCTTTCACAAATTTACGATTTATTTTTGAAAAACTTTGAATATGCATTTCATGACCCTAGACCAGCAATCCAGGTTGGAAGTTAAAAAGAAATCTTAATATAACTGAAATATAGTTAACTGAAACTGTTCAATATCTGGTCCTAAAAATTTTGCGCGCTGTCCGAAACCTTTTATTGATGCAATGTTCAGTTGGCAATGCGAACTTAGATTGAAATTAATGACAGCTTATCCAAATGTACATTATTATATTATACGTATTATATTATACGTAAATTCCTACATCATATAGAAAAAGATACAGCACAGAGATCACATCTGTTTCCTCCGTCTGGATTATTATAGAGAACTCAGGCCTCGTATATGGACGCCGGTGAATTCTTGCACAAATAGGGTGCATTGTTAGCCTTCCAATGCAAACACTTATCATGTTGTCAGCGGCGCATTCAGAATAGATCGGAAAATACCATTCATAGCTCCCAAGAGCCACTTTGCAACTTGATAAACCTACCTTTCTACATTATTACAATGTAACACGGTTTCCTCGAAAGTGATAATGTTAAGTCTGGCATTCTAACTGCAAGTGGTATTTTATAATGATAGCTGCAAGTTGGTGTCTGTTCATGTACTAACTTCTACACCAAAGACTTAATAGGTATTATGTGCTATTTTACTATACCAAGTCTATTTAACTTGCAATTTTAAAACTTCTATATTAATTTGTTTACACGAGTGCTAGCTCATGTTGGATGGTTCGAGTTGGTTTAAAAATGGTTTTTACTTGGTGTTTCTCCAGTATCTTGCCGATATATATACCAACATTGAAGTTTTTATGTCGAACTGTTTAAAAAAAAAACAACAAAAACTAATATTTTTCGGCATTTTGGAGATCAAATATCTTAAAAATGGAACCTCAAATTTAAAAAATTCTCAGGAAGACCCCCTATAAAATAGGAGAACACGCTGTTAAAATATTTTAACACATTTACGGAACACCCTGTATAGATCAGGAAAAATTGGCGAAGTTGACAAATTTTGCAAGTATCTAACAATACTTACTTCATCTTAATGAATATTGCGTTTTTATAATTTGTATTCGATTAGATTATACTTTACGGTAGTTTACTATTTTTCATAAATGAGAGCTGTGTAAAAATGACGAAATTTAAAAATCTGTATATCTTTGAATGGCCTTATTTAATATTTTTCCAAGATTCCTGATTACCTAAGCTTCAGTTCAAAAAAAATATGAAGATTCATAGATTAGATCAAAAGCTGTTTGATTTTAAGACCAGAAAAACCAAAATTGACCGTATGGTTGACCTTAAATTTTAATATTTTTCCGAAAAGTTTTCCTTGCCATGGGCATTTTGAAAATGAATGTTTTAGAAACGGCCAGGGAAAGCTACCTGCTTCTTTCTTTTGGTTGGAGGAAAAGGGGGAATTGGCTGTATTTCTTGTATACCAAAGTTTAACTTAGGAGCGTTTTTATTTACTTTCAAGTTCAAATATTTCAATTGACTAAACTATTTTTTTCATGGTTTTTCTCAAAGCGAATTTATTTCGCGACTTACATATAAGACATATTGATGGAATATATATTGAAAAAATTGGTTTGAGTTAATTAAACTATTTGAAAATTAATAAGTAGTAATAAACGCACCTGGGAAGCTAATAAAACTTTCAGGTACGCTTACAGGTCTTACGCTCTGTGAGAAATTCATTTTCAAAATGCCCATTGCAAGGGACACTTTTATGTGCATCAAAAAATTAATATTTTCGTATCCAGTGTGGTAAACGTGTAATTAATATTGGTTGGAAGTCGCATGTGGACTGAGAGAATTGAGTTTCGAGTTGTACAACGTTGTTTTTTTGTTCGTATATATCCTAATATATTAACAATTGTGTTTTTGTAGCGATCCTAGATTTAACTTTGATTATCTTTAGCATTCACCAATACCGCGAAGAAACCATCTTTCAGTATGCCCTCTCTGCTATCTTTTACATCAACTTCTTTTGCTGTTATATGAATTATGGGTAAAATGAATTTATACTGTGATGATATTCCACTCAGAACTTTCAAATTTTCTTACTTTCTCCTCGGTATTTCCGTTTAATTTTGTTTGAGTTTCTTTTGTCTAACTTTTTTTCCTTTTTCCTAATTAAGCTTGATGCGATTTGATTATTAGCACAATAAATATACATAGTATACGCTAATATGTACCATTAGCTGTGATTTGTAGATAAATATCCTTAATGCGTTATGCAGTGTTACTGACCATTTTAACCCAGGTCTTCTTTTTCAGGGCAACGATAGCTGGCAAGGAAATGACACCGATCAAGTAAGTTCAAAACTTAATAAATTTAACTGTATTTAATAGTTCAAATTATTTTTAAACGGATGCATTGGTTGCAATTCGGTTTATCAGAACTAGTAATTTCCTTTTCTGTAGGAAACTTATAAATTGACGTTAAAATAGTTTTTGATCAAACGGCGAATGTCTTGGAAAAATATGTGTTACTAAACGTGTACTCAAAATTAGATAAGTAATCAAAGCAAATACCGTCGTTCTTTTTCGTGCATGGTTTGCTAGATCAGTGTCCATCTATGGATCAGTGATACTTTATAAGCTAGATGATATCGTGCCGGCTATTTTATTATCCTTACGTGAAATTCAACGTAAATATTTTGTATTCAATCCTGATTAATTTCAGAAATAAATTTCCTCTGTATGATCAGATAATATTGTATAGGGTGATTCAATATAATAGGGAAAAATTTGCCAGGGTGATTGACTGTGGAAGGCAAAAACTAGTTTAGTTATGGAATTAGGGTGTTATTGCATTGCAAAAACAGTGATAAACAAAAAGTTTTTTGGTTTATCTAAGCTAAAATTTTGTCAAAGTCTTTTCCTAACTGACTTTTTGAAGAACGCCCGTAAAGACATTGAGAAAATTTGAATCAAGATCATTTGGAACATTTAGAAACGGATTCTCTCTTATACCTCTCGGATAAAATCAGTTGATTCCAAACAAAAATAAAGCGTAAATTATTCTTTTGTATTATTAATATCAGTGTTTTCAATGTTGCTTTGCCGCATGAAGTTTAATTCGCTAGACAATTTCCTAGCGCTTCGTTTGTAAGAAAAAAAATCATTTGTTTTTGCCCATTTGTATCTTCCTATTGATTGAGGCTTAAAATTTTATATCAAACTGCTTTCTATTTTCCACACGGGGATTATCGGGGGTAATACCACGAGTGCTTTGAAATTACCGATAATTTTTCACGATTGCATGTTTTCCATAATTTCACGAGTCCGAAGGACGAGTG